GCTGGGGTCAGAATCCGGCAGCCTCCAGAGCTGCTCCGCCGGCTCTTGGCCAGCAGAGGGAGCCCTCAAGCTGCCTCAGGTCTTGAAGTGTTCCTGTTGTTGTCACACTGCAGTTATATTCTGCTTTTTTCCCTCTTGAGAGGAACCTAAGACAGCTTGTGCAGGCCTTCTTCACTCCATTTTATCCTCACAGCAACAGCTCTGTGGGGCATGTTAGGCTGAGAGTGAGTGCGTGACCCATGGAGTTTCATGGCTGAGTAGGAAATAGAGCCTGGATCTCCAGGGTCTGGAGTCCAACAATCTAGCCATCACTCCACACTGGCTGTGCTGTCTTAAGTCCTATGAGGAGAGACTGAACAAACTGGGCATATTTAGTCTTGAGAGGATAAGACTGAGGAAAGATACGATAGCTTTCTTCAAGTGCTTTGAAAGGTTGCCGCACAGAGGAGGGTTGGGATCCCTGCATCTGAGAGTGCAGGACACAAAGTAATGGATCAAATTGCAGGAAAGATGCAGCTGGACAGCCATCCATTAGGGATGCTTTAACCTGGAGTCCTGCACTGAGCAAAAATGGGGCCCAACTCTTATTATCTATGATTCCATGTAATAGCATGCTTCTTGATAGGTTCAGAGGAAAAAAGGATTATCCTGCTGTACTGAATGCAGGATCATAGTAAATTAAGCAAAATTATTTATCACTTCGATTACCTGCATAAATCTACAGCCTTTGCTGCATAATACAAGATCATTAATTAGAACTGCTGCAAAGCATTGATTTAGTACCATGAGTTGCTTTTAAATACACTTTGGGTTATAATTTATTAGATTGTGTTAAGAGATAAGTAAAACACCGGCAGTGACTTTCAGAATGCATTATCATGGTGTGTCTAAAGGCTGTACTTCAGCTTCAGTGACATTCAAGTGTCATGTTGAATAGTTCTTCCTAGCTGTACCAGATCACACTGCTACTGAACAACCACATGGCTGACTCCTTCCAAGTCAAAACCGCTGCCTGCAGAAAAACTAGCAGGTGAGGGAGAAAAGTTCTAGCCTAATAAGTAAAGTTTCGAAGAGGCAGAGAAACGAGAGATCAAATTGCCAACATACACCATGAGGTGGCTGGATGGAGTGACTGAAGCAGTCGGTGTGAGCTTAGGTGGACTCCTGGGGATGGTGGAGGACACGAAGGCCTGGAGGAATGTTGTCCATGGGTCGGACGCGACTCTGCAACTAACAACAACAACTATGCATACAGCTGTGCTTAGTGACCACATGCTTTTCTTAAAAACAAAACAAAACAGAACCCATGGGGGACCATTTTTGTGGGGTACGCAGTTCACAGGGAAGGATGAGATGCTATTCTTTTCTCCCTTTGCATGATCCTGACACAAATGGTTAGGCCTTGTGTGGCTGTTTTTATCAGGACAAAGCAAGAGGATTAAAAAGTTAAACTGCCTCTCCCAGTGCCAATAAACATTGAGGACCTCATTTATTCATTTAATAAGTTATCACTTTTGTGTACTCTCTCATAGTCAGGTAGCTCTCCTGATGGTTTATATGATAAAAACTAACAACATAAAACATCCTTATTATGCACAATTTAGACAGTTAAAAACAGAGTATCTGTAATTAATAACATAACATCATAGCAGGCACATGAAATAATAGTTTAACAACAGATTGGTACTATCTCAAATATCATAATTAAGAAACTAAAATTTACATTGAAATACAATTAAAAGTAAATCCCAATTAAAATCATCAATTAAAATACTCCTTAAATAAAAATGTCTTAGGACGGTGCTTGATGAATATCCCTGGGAAATCGATTCCATAGATGGGATGTCACAACTTAGAAGGCCCTGCATCAGCCATCCTCCAACTTCCTTAGGGATGGCTCCTGGAGCAGGACCTTTGATGATGATTTCAAGGTCCAGGTAGGCTTATATGGATGGAGACAATCTTTCAAATATTCAGATCCTAAACCATTTAGGGCTTTATATGTCAAAATGAGCACCTTGAAGCAGACCTGGGCTTCAATGGGCAACCAGTGTAGTTCATGGAGGACTGGTGTAATATATTTGGTATTACCAGTTCTTGTCAGCAGCCTAGCTGCCCTATTTTGCACCAACTGTAATTTCCAGACTGTTTTCAAGGGTAGCCCAACATAGACCCCGTGCCAGCATTTTTTAAAGTATAGGCATGATTGCTAACAAAGCATTTAGTGTCACATTCTGTTTGACCTGAATGTATGATTTGGCTCTTAGATGTATTTGGTGTAGCACCAGGAAGGTAGCATTCTGTTCTAGATATCTTGTACCGAAATGCTTCTTATAAGTGAGTTAAAAGGAACACCATGAACAATTCAAAGCTTCAGGTCACTGGTAGTCCTGTATACTGTCCAGTGTACCACTAACTGGAAAAGACCCTCTGTGTGTTTGGTGAACATTCACAAATGCCAGTATACATAAACTTGAGTATGCATCCATGAGATGGAGTTTCCTTTTGCTATCTCCGACTGCCTCCCACTCACAAGCTACATTACAGACACAATAAGAGCGTGTCTGTAAGCTTCTGTGGATATTAAAATGGGAATAAACTAAAACATCATAAGCTGTTGGGTATGTATGTTGAGAACAGCAGGAACAATGATAATGAAATACATGACCTTTGAAATGATTGCATTTGCATGACACATTACAAAACATTATTGGCAACAAAATGGGTACATTTCAAACATGCCCCTTCAAGCATCTCCTGTTGCTGGGATGCATTTGTGAAAAACATAAATGCCATTTTAAACGCTCTTCTGATAGGTACTTAAATTGATGGGTGGCCCATGTAGGAAATTATAGGTTGCATTCTCACGTAATGCTAAATCTAGTTCTGTGTGCAGTAGCAAAAAAAGAGCCTCTGCTTGCCCCTCTCTTCCTCCTGAACATCTAGGAGAAGAAATAAACTAGAATTCTGTCTTGCTTTAGCAGACTTCTGGGTTGTCACCTCATTCCGCAGAAAATCGTGGTTTAAAATAAAGCCCAGTTTGTTAAACATGGCAGCCAAACCACAGTCAGTTTGTTGTTGGTTTGTTTAGCAATTGACTAGAGTTTATTTTAAGTCCCAACACTGGTTTCCTCTGACTGGGTTTCTCCCTGGAGAGGCACATGGGGTAGTTAAGGAAATCTTTGTGTGTCACACTAGAAGGATGCATGTGAGTTTGTAGTAATTTAAACAATTGTTTTAGCCACTCTTTAATCATAGTTATTGGTGCAGTTCACTGAATAAAACCATATTTTCTAATTGAAATTCACAGCAAGCCATTTTTCAAAAATTCCAGCATAAAAACAAACTGAAAACAAAAGGAATAGATATACAAAAGGCCTTTTGTTTGGCTATGAAAAGCAAAATAAATACAGTAACTGGGTTTACCTGCCACACTAAGCCACATTGTCCACACTAAGCCAGTACTTCAAACCCAGGATGGTTTTGTCAGGGTGGCTTCTGTTAGGTTTCCAAATCACCCTGACAAGCTGTTAAACGGTTGCTGGGCTTGTTTGCCTCCTGGTGGTTTTCTGTGTGATGTAAACCCAGATGACATGAGCCCCTGCAAGGGTCCAGGTGTGGCCAGCAGGATTTTAGGCAGATGCCCCTGGGCCTAGGCAACTGGAACCAATGTAATACAAGTCCAGAGTTCAATAACCAGTCCAGTAACAATCCAGGTCATAATCCAAAACAGGCCAAGGTCAGAACCAGGAGTAGACAGTGGAGCGATGCGAGGTGCAGTACGATACGCAAGAGCATAGCCAGAGCAGGCCAGAGCCAGGAACCAGGAAGGCAACGTGGCAAGGAGTGTGGGAGCAGGAACAACAAGATGTGAGCACAGGAACAGGCTGCAGCACACTGCTGAGGCAGTTTCTGGAGGGAAGAGCCTGCTCTTTAATTAACACAACCTCCGGGGCTCCCAGTTTTCTTCATGAATGCCCTGGCAGCTGCAGCTGAGTTGAAACTGAGCCTGTGCCTGCCAAGGTCATTACTAGGGTGAGGGCAGAAGGAGCCCTGGATCTGCGCAGTTTGCTGGCGAGCAAACGGAACAGCAAGCAAACTGTTTGGTAGGAAGGGCAAAATCCCCCTGCTGCTCTGGTCAAGGAGCTCCAGGTGAGTGCCAAGGACAGCCCTCCACAAATGCCCAAGCGGCACTTCAGGGAGGCAGTCTTTGGCTTCCCTGCTGCTGCAGAGTGGCTCCCCCAAGCCCCATTCGGGCAGGGAAGGGTCCCAGCAAAACACATTCATTTGCTGACGAAGGAGACCTGGCAGGGGAAGAGGCATCTCCCACGGCCCACCCTTGCATCCGACCCTTTCATCTGGGCCTTGTGGTTGGTGGTGCCCATCATTTCAGCATGCTCATGAATGGACCTTCCCTCCTCCTCACACTGCTGACAAATGGCAGTGAGGATGGGGAACACTTTGGTGCCCCATGGTATTCCCTGGAGCACCTGAGAAAAGATCGAGGGGGACGGTCTCTCAGTGACATCAGGGAGAGACTGGCTTATAAGCCACACTGCATAGTTTTCTGTACGGTATGGCTTATGTCAGGCAAACCCTCCCAGTGCCTGGCAACCTCTCTGAAAAGGCTCTATCTCCAATTGCCACCTGCTTTATTTCAGGTAATGAGGGGTACATAGGAGGACAGCCAAAGCGAATTGCAGTAGCCTGCCAGGTTCGTGTGACTTGAAGGCACTTTGGTCCCAGGCCACTAGTCACAGTGAGGTGACAGAGGTCAACACCCACAAGAGGTGAGCACAGGAGTGACTTCTACTATGCTAGCTGGATGGGATGTGGCTATATTTAAAGATAAAAAAGCACCACTTCTGTCAAGGAAGGTCCCCCAATGATAATTAAGATGATTTCAAATGCATAAGGTGATTTTGATAAAAGGGCTGTGGGGAATTATGGGAGTCTTGCCACTGTTTTCATTGGTAGACTTTTTAAAAAATTTTTTCCAGAGTGCTGACCTTTTGGCCTCTGTCTTTCATCTGGAGCAAACTTTCAACATGTGGGCAAATGGGACATCGGCTTCAGCACCTCCAAATAATCAGCAGTGAGAGGAAGGCTGCAACTCAGACCCAGCTGATGAAGTAAGTCGTGCAGGTGGGAATTACCTTGCTAGATGCAGTTAGATCTGTGCCCAGAAGCCTTTGTTCCATTATTTTTTTTAACTTTCATTTATATGCCACCTACTACTGTAGTCTCAAGGTAGCTTACAATAAAATATGACAAAAGATTTCATAAAAGATCTTGGCGAATGTAATTAATTTATCCTAGTTGCTATTTGTAGTATTGGCCAATGTTGAAAGAGTACCCTAAAGAACCCCATAGTCTTGGGCACAGCTCAGTGGGAGTTTTGTGCTCTTTCTCTTATGCCATATCTGCTTTGTATCGATTGATCTGTGCAAGGCTTGATAGGTAGAATTTCTTGGGAGCAAACTGAGCTTTTGAAAAAGCGGGACTTTCTGGCTATCATGGCATTCAGGTCAGGCATGACCATTTGTGAGCTGTCGCTGGTGAGCTCCCAGAGGTCAGAGACATGGCCAAATCGGGTTTCCCTTGACGGAGGGCTCTAAACCTCCCTGTTCCTCCTAACCCCTCTCTATAAGAAGCAGAAGCAGAATGAATTGTGCAAAGCAGGCAAGGACACAAATACAGGCAAACTGACTTGCAGTATCTCACTTGTACAGGTTGCAGATTTCAGCCTACCTTGGCACAAAAAGCTGGGCTGGGTCGGGTTGACAGCTTTTCGAGGACGGAATGTACTGTCTCGTCCTTGAAGGCTGTCATGTGTTTTTGTGCTGCAGCCCTGTGTCAATTTATACATGGCCGGTTCAGTCCCTAAGCAATATAGTTTCCTTTTCTCTTCATTGCTGACAAATCCTTTCTTGTTGCTTTTTTGACTGTGTGGCCTCTTGCATGAAATTGTATATATCAAACTGTCCCAGGCAGTTTCTGCGAAGCTAATTAGAACTATTTTTTAAAAAGATCAATAATAGCAAACCAGTTTTCCTGCTAGGGTTCTTAACCACCACAATGGTCATCTACAGTGGCGAGTAGTTGCAAGAATTTGTTGAGTGTTGGCTAAGGTGTACTGTTGGTTTGCACACAGGGATAATGAAGCCAAACACCCCCTATGGATGGCATATGTTCCTTGAAACCCTTTCCAGACTTCCCCAGTCTGGACGTCTTCCAGACACATTTGGACTGCAGTACCCAGAATTCCTAGTCAATGGCCCTGCTGAATGGGAATTCTGGGACTTGTGGTCCAAATGCCTCTGAAGGCCATAAGGTTGGGGAAGATTGCTCTACAGCAAGCAGGGCCTACTTTGCAGCTAAGTCATGGAAGCTCTGTGAACTGAGCCTATACCTGCACAAGCCTCAAGCTGTGCCTTTCCCATCACATTCCTCTCTTGTGAAGAGGAGAACAAAAACTTTCATGTCCACTTTTAAACATGGTTTCCTTGTTACATCCACATTTGGTGAATTGTGGTTTTTTCCAGCACATCAGAATCCAAACTTGCAGTTTGATCCTGGTTACTCTACCAGGTTACACTTAAAACAAAGCTTAGTTCCCTGACTTTGGATTTAACAAGTAACTGTGGCTTATTTAAAAGTAGAAGTGATTTTTTTTTCAATCCTGTTGTTAGGGTCACACAGGAGGAAGTGAAGAAAGGGAGGAGTGTTTGAATCCAAAACTTGTGTCAGCTTATTCACTCAGTTAATATGGTGGTTTCCCATTGAAGTATGTGGATGAGATCCCCAAAGATAAAGCCAAGTTTGAAAAATGCTGGTATATTTTGTTGAACTACAGTAGGGGGATGCTGTAGTTTTGATTTTGTGTTTTTCACAGGTGTGTGAAACACTAATCTTGTTGATCAAATTAAATATAGTTGTGCTCTTTCTCTCTCATTGGAAACATGCTTATGTTCCATGGTGTTCCATGCGGCTATACCTGAGCTTTCATGCCAAACTGAAGAGCATCTTTTATTTTTGTCCCCATAAGTGCTACCCACACAACTTCCATTTCTGTCTCACAGAAAAGAGGGTTGCCCAGGAAACAGGTCTGCCAAACAAGCATTGGCAAACACTGTTGAGAATATCTGCACAGCACCTGCTCTGTTCTCCCAGTAACTGCAGTGACCTCAGATGTCCCCTTGGCATAATCCTGTGATTTAGGATGCTGCTACTCCGCTATATTCAATATGTTTCTTCTTTTTAGGGTCTTTTGAAACTTCAGATCAGGAACTGCCAGAAACTAAGTTGCTTTTTTAAAACAGATACTGTGGACCTCTCTGCTGGGCCCATACAGGATCTGCTGTTGGCGTAAGACCCCTGTTCAGGGCCGTGTGTTATAGCTTGACCAGAACTGGCTTCTGTCCCAGCTTCAACATGGTAAAACTGATTTTAAGAGTTGAATGGGGCACAGTAATTGGCTTTCCAGACCTCACCTGTAATAAATAAGATTATAGTATCCCATACAGTGGGGCACACCATGGGCTGAGCCACCCTTGTCATGCTATTTTCCTTTGGCATCTTTCAGAAGATATTTTTCCTCTCTGTTTTAACCTGCTTCTTATCGTAACTGATTTTGTTTTACTTTTACCCTGGTTTCAGAAAAGCCAACATCTTTGTTTCTGTCCTCATTGATGTGGCCTTGGGGATACTGCTGATGTCTTGGCTGTACCAGAAGAATCGAATTGGTCATCTTGCCAATGCCCTTGTTCCCATAGCTGATGTAAGTTTTAGGCTGAAGCTCATACTCCTCCAGAACTTTTGGAGTACAATACCTGTCATCCCCAGACAGCACAAGCACTGGAAAACACCAGATTGGGAGAAGTCTACTGTAACTGATAGGGTATATTATTAACATGGTAATGGGTTGTATGCCAGAGATGAAGAGGGTCATTGTCTGTATAGTGACCCAGCCAATTTGCTTCAGGGGAGAAAGATACTTCTCTGAAGCCTGGCCTGCCAATTCCAAAGGCTCAGTTAGAAAATTGAGGAGGACGGTAGCAGGATCATAAATAGTTTGCTGTCCCATTCCGTTTTTGGTCAGTGAGCACATTTGGAATTGGAAAGAGTGTTAATGTGGTGGTCGCTTTCACAAAACAACTGCCTTGGTGAAGAAGCTTGCCCATTCATGAAAGGATTTCCAAAACTTTGCAGATTATTGTGCTCCATGTTAGCTGGTGAGCAGGAAGCTGCAACTTACCTTTTCCACCTGAGATGCCAAACTATTTTGGACCAACCCTCTATCTTCTCTTGATCTTGGACATACATAGTATTAACAACTGCAGGTCTCTTTTAGGCTATGACTTTTCTTCCTTTCTTCCATCCCATGACAGGTAAGTAACTAAAACTGTCTGCATCCTGGGCTATATTGCAGTCCACAGTTTTATGGATCTGCAGTCCATAGACTGATATGCAAAGCTCCAGCCACCAAGAATTTCAAACATTTGCTGCACTGCAGAATAACTGCTCCAGGACTACTTATGGATGTTTAAATCCTTTATTGCAGTGAAAGAATCCATCACTGCTGTACTGCTCCTATGTGCTAAATATTAAATGAGGTGTGTTTCTGAGGCATCCTGCTTTTCTCTCTGTATGGTGAGAAAGGAAGTCAGCAGAGATCAGCCCTGGACCACAGCCAGCCTTTTGATGGGAATGAAACAGAGGATGATGCGCAGGCAATCCAGTTATTAAGGAAAATTACCCGTTAGCTGAAACCTAACTGCTAACACCAGTTGGGCAAATATGTACATATCCTCAGTTCATGAATCATAGGGCTAGAAGTCTGCAGCCAAATATTTGGCTGGCTTCTTTGGAGTCAGAATGTGAAATTCAGCCCACTTGGGTTCCCCATGTTCGTCCACGCCTGCCTCTCTGACTTCTCTTCCCCCAACATGATGCCGTCCTTCTTGTCACTGCACCCTATATAGGGCTCTGCATTTATCCCTGCATTTCTTCCTCATTTCAGTGTTCCAAACCAATCTGATGTTCGCTGCATATCCATGAGTGGATGCATAAGATACTTGCATTTTTAAAGTTTACAGCTGAGGGCTCCCACTCCCGTGTGCCCATGAGCACCTCACTTAGTTCCAACGGATTCCTTGCTGCTTCTGGCTTTAATTTTATTTCTTCATTTAAAAAAAATCAAAAGAAGTTGCTTACTACAAAAGTAGCATGTCACAATGTGAAGTTCAGCCCTTCTGTGCCATCTTTATTCCAGTTTAAAGAAGTGCTTTTGGAGCTCAGCCCCCCACCCCCATCCTGCCTCATACTTGGGTTTTTGGTGCTTGATTACTTTTCTTTTAGTCCCAAAAGTTTGCCTGTGGGAAGTGGGTATTTGTGACCAGACTTGTCCACCATCACCATGGCACCCATTCTATGAAAGTACCAATCCAGCACCATGGCATCTATTTTACGAAAGCATCTTCACAACAGCAACCCTGTGAAATAGGTTGGGCTGAGGGTCTATGCCTGGCCCAAAATCACCCAGACGGCTCCATGGCCAAGCAGGGACTAGAGCCCAGATCGCTTGAGTCCCAGTCTCACATTCTTAACCACTACGCCACACTTGCTACACCAAGACCCTGGCACTTGCTGAGATGAACGGAAAAAGTGAGCTGGCACGAAAATTCCTGATTGCACTCCCTTTCTTGCAACTGTCAATGCATACATGGGGCAGTAGGGTTAGGGTTTGGAACGCGTACCCTTTATATCAGCCTTGCAAATAAGTGCATAGTAGTCATTATTCTAGCTTATGCCTGTCATCATGACAAAGAATATAAAGGAACCAGTTGTTGAAAGAACAAACCTTCTTTCCTGCTTAGCTGGAGTCCAAGTGTACTCTCCAGAAGCAACCAGGCAAATGTTTGTTTGTAAGGCTGGAGATAAAAGAGGTAACCTCAAAGGTCAGAGAACATGCAAAAAATAAAAAAATAAAAATTAACTGTTCCTTCAGAGATCCTGTTGCCCCCGAATACATCTTACAACTTGATGCATGTTCAGGCTTCATAAATTGTTTTGCATGTATCCTTCAGATCTCCTCTTTGCTTAACCCAAAGCTTGCTAGCTTTCCTTCCCTCCTTTATTTTTAACCTTGGATCATAGTCCAACACAGAATTAGGCATGTCAGTTGGCCTCATCTGTACGTCCAGCACATTTAGTCTGATTCATACAGCTCTTTATTATCATTTGATCCTTATTTAATATATATTCCACCTACCATATCTAAAGTGGTTTACAGAATCAGAGATTTAAAAACGTTCTTAAGGCCAGATGCTGTCCAGTACTGATGAAGTGTTGCTGGGTCACCAAGCTGTGATTCAGTTCCTGGAAATGCCTTTATATTATCAAGCAATCATCTCTCAATACCAGCCCCTCTCCCCACACACACATGGAAGAATAAAATTCAGCCCTAGCAACGAAGCTCACTGTGGGATCCAAACATGTTTGATGTTTCCAGTGCAACCATGAGAACATTTTTCCTTCCACAAGGGAAAAAGTAATAAGACCTTCCAGATGACCTCATCATTTTGTGGGAGGTGCTTTGCATGTGCAATAGATGGTTTTCCACTGACCTGGGCTGTTTGTTTCCTTCTTTTCGGCAGCATGTTGCCCAGGAGCTCCAGAACCTCCTGCAGTGGCTGATGGGTGTACCGGCTGGTTTAAAAATGAATAGGGCTTTGGACCAAGTGTTGGGCCGATTCTTCCTCTACCATATTCACCTCTGGATTAGTAAGTGCACCTGCTTTCAGCTATGACATCTGAAAAATCCTTTGTGTCGAGAAAACCCCCACCCTGGTTCCCTCCAGGTGTTTCAGTGTGCAGTTTCCGCCACCCTTGACTATTCGTCGTAGTGGCAGGGAGTTGCAGCCCAAAGCATCTGAAGGGCACCAAGGTGAAGAAGGTTAGTGCTAAGGAGCTTTTGCAGCCACTCTTGTCTTTGTCCTCAGAGTTCGGACGGAGGCTGCCCCTCCCAGTATCCATGAGAGCTCATGAAATGGCTCAGCTGGCAAGAGGAAGAACAGCCACACTTCCCTCCCCTTCCCTCCCACTGTCTGCATCTCTGTGCTTGTCTTGGATCTCAGACTAAAAAGAACAGCAGGGCTTCTTCCTGAAAGGATTCTTCCAGGTCCAAGCCCTGCCCCCTGGAGAAACCCAAGGAGGAAGTGTGGGTCAGATGGCAAACCTCCACGGGCTGTCTTAAGTCTGCGGACCACAGGTTCTGCATCTCTGCTGTAACCCTTGTCATACGGTTTAGGAATTAGCCTCTCCAGTATAACAGAGATTACTGTGCTTCACAATAGTCAGAGATCCACCTTGTAGTGAGTCACAGGAAGTGCAGCAAGATAAGGTGCTGTTCTGACTATATTTTTTGCTGACCCTGCTGTCCTAGCCCTTCCTGCCTTCTCATCAAGGCCCTCATCTGGAGAGTGTGTGCATCCTTCTTCCTCTCATGAGCAGGACTCTGAAATGGCCAACCTCTTTCTGCTGGATGGGCATTGTACCTCCTGTTCTGGACTTCTGTTTGGATACAGCACTGCCTCCGTGCTGTCCTGAGAGTGCTCTTGCTGAGTCTGGAGCAGGAATGGGGGGCAGGCAGAGTAAGACTGGTTAAGTATGGGCTGCTCTGAGTCTGCTGCCTCGTCAACATTTTCCAGTGTAGCAGTCTCAAAAGGATTATTGGTACTGTAGACACCTTCTTGAACCCTATACATATTAGGATCATGGTAGAAATCTTCTTTCCCTCCAAATGCCTAGCCAGTTCTTGGCCAGTCCTGCAATATAGGTGGTGGGGCTCAGAAATTCTGGATGCACAGAGCCCTTTTAGCCCTCTTCCGGCACAGAATAATCTGATGGTTTTGTGTAGACCTTCTCCATTTGTTACAGCATTCATGGAAAGCACCAAGTCCACCAAAGCGTTCCTTCTTCCATTATGGGTCTTTGCCTCTTGAGTATAATCCCACTTTACCATACCTAAAAGGAAGGAACTAAGACAAGGTTCCCATGTTTAATTTCTGTACAGTACCCTTGGAGGCTTGGAGTGGTTGTCATTTTCCTTGACTTGGAAAGGCCACCAAGGAAAAGGACCGCCATTACACAGGCTCCTGCAACCTGGAGCAGCCTTGCCTGGGAGGGCTACAGCAGTCACCTCCATGTGGGGTGAGCTCAGTGCATTAGGTTGGGGATGGGCAGAAAATGGATGTCCAGATGTTTTGGATTTCAACTCCCAGAACACAAAGAAGTCTAAAATATCTGGAGATCTATTTTCTGCTCCTCACCTCTGCACCAAAAATGGACCTCTTCACAGCAACACACACATAGATCACATCACATCACATCAGAACAGAACAGAACATGTTTAATGTTTGCTTTAAAAAATTCCTCTGGCATGTAATAGTAATAATGGCATGCATTCATTTATAAATGTTTTCCAGCTGCATCAAATCAACATGTGGAGCCAATATGCAACAGTTCCATTATTTGTACTAACAATGTCATTTGGTAGCTTTGGGGTTAGAGCCAGCTCCCAAGAGATCCCTGACTAAATTTTGATGGAGGAATGGTAAAAGGTTTGCAAGTTTCACTCTTAACAGAAAGAAAATAGTAGCTCTTGCCTACTTTGTTGGGGCCTCTCTCTCCTGGTGTTAGTCCATGATGTGAAATATGTCTCCTACAACTTTCTTGATCCCTCACCATTTCCTATGCTGGCTAGAGCCAGTGGAAATTGTAGACCCAAGCAACCAGAAGGCCACCAGTATCCCATCCTTGTGATACCTGGGTGTGCTCACTCTATAACTTTGAAGCCCTAAATGGCAGACAGCACTAGCTTTGTTACAGAGAAAGCGGCAATCCTAACAGAATGCAGTCACAGCCCCTGGACTGTTGTCTGGAGGAAAGGTTCATCTACAGGGTGGCAAAGTTCAGCTGAGGTCATAGTGGCAGGCCATTTCCTTGCTTCCACGGGCTGCATGCCACTGGTGAGGGTGGCTGAATGTGGCAGTGGCAAGGTCCCGGGCTGCCAACCAAATGTGCATGAGCATCCATGCGTAAGGACCTACAGGAACATGGGAAACTGGCTTGGACCCTTGATCCAGCTTGCCCAGTAATGTTGCCACTGACTGGGGCAGCTGCTAGGGGTTCCTTGTTCTGCTCACTGTGGCACAAGGTCTTGTTCCGCAGTAGGATTGTCCATGTTTCCTCTGCCTCTTGTGGTGACAGGCTGGAATGCACCACCTGCTGTGGGCAGTAAATGAACAGTTTATGAGACCTGCGCACTGTTGTCATGTGAATGCATGCGTACGACCTGTCATATGAACATGCTAGGACCCAAGTCATGGGAGTGTTGCTGCATCTGGGGAGTGTATGAGTCATTTGGGCTTTGTCCTTATCGCTTATGGGAGGTAGAGAACTTGCTTTCAGGGGCTACCTTGGTTTCCTCCTGTGTTTTACAGAGGCCTTGATGAGCAGGGGAAAGACTCTTTCTCGTTTCTCTTTCCCTCCCCCGCCCCCATTGTTCAGGCTATATCCACCTGATGTCTCCATTCATCGAGATGATCCTGTGGTATGTTGGCTTGTCAGCCTGTCTAGGCCTGACTGTGGCCCTGTCCATCCTCTCTGACATCATTGCACTCCTGACCTTCCACATTTACTGCTTTTATGTCTACGGAGCCAGGTGAGTGTTGCTTTAGCAGGTTATGCCCACGTGCCGAGAGCCACTGTGCATTCATTACAAACTGATATGGCTTAATGAAAGGTGTGCTGGAGCATAATTTATCTCATACCATTCTTAAGCTCAGTGTGATGTGACTTTGGGCAAATAAACTCCTTTCACCTTATGTTCTTCATCTGTAAAATTGTGAGCAATATTTCTTATCTTGGTTAAGAACAAGAGCAAGATATTGGCCCATTTGGACATAACCATCTTAATCCAGCACATGGTTTGTTAGACCAGGAATAAGCCATCTTTCTATGCACTCGCCCCTCTCTTCCCTTCCCTCAATTACAGGCCTTAATTCAATAGTTCCTGGCTTGTTAAACAATAGCTTCTAAGATACGCCAACCAGGAAACTAAATTCAGCAATCTCTTAGAAACAAGGATTAAGCTGTACTATAATATCCTTTGATAGAGATTGTTGAAGTCACCGTTTCCTGGTACAGTTGTCACAGAAAATGGGAGTTTATCAGACCAGGATCTAAGTGTGTGGGCATGTTGCTCTTTCTTAGTCCATGGGGGTCTTAGTCTTAGACCATGGGGCCAGGATCCCAACTGAACTGTGCCGAAGATTGTAAAACATTTTGTACTGCTACAACATGGTCTTTAAGAATGTGAGCTGCAGACGGGGAAATCGTTGGCTCAGATTTTGCCTCTGTCTTACTGGGCTGTTGTAAAGGATAACCTAGGTAAGGAATATAGAGCATATTTATTTCTAAATTTATGAGTCATACTTTGGCCCAAATAGGGCCTTAAAGGTGACTTCCAATTAAACTTTAAAACAATACAAAAACAAACTTATGAAAATATTTTTTAAAGTAGCACCTTGGTGCTGCTAGAGAAATACTAAATATTAGCATTGTCTTTTATTACACTGGAAATCCTAAATAAATGGCATTAATTAAATATTCAACATCAGCCACAATTTGGACAGAAATTAACAGGATCAATGTTACCGAGATAAGGTAGTTATTGTTAACATACAGGTCTATTTACCTGTGTGAATTTGTGGGATATCCACCTCACTGTCACAGTGAGGGGAAAGAGAGAAAAGAAAGCACTTATAAAGTGGCAATGTATCAAGTCAGCCCCTTGGCCACCCCCCAAAACTGTCTTCTACTCCGACTTGCAGCAAGAGCTCTTCAGGGTCTCAGGAAAACCGGCTGAGCAAAATGCTGATACATGGCCCTTCTCGGACCCACTAGAGGGCACAATGCCATTTGCTGTCACAACCAGAGCAAAGGGGAGACTGCATAAGCAAAACGATCCTTTTCCATCCTGAACTGGTGAGAGCTAGCTTCGCAATAGCTAGGTCAAACAAAATATTCTTGCGTGTTTTGTATCCAAACAAAGGGGGATAATTGGAAAAAAGAAACCCAAGGAAACAAGGCAGCATAAAGGGGCAGCATTCTCTTCTCATTGAAGCCATGAGTCCCAGAAGATCAGAGCACTTGATGCTGAAGAAGGCACCTCAGAAGTGAAAGAGTCCTCCAAGGACAAGGTCTCTGATTGCTCATTTACAGAGCAGAATTAACAAGCAGTCAGGAGAACCTGATAGCTGGAGAGCCACCCCTTCGACTTGAAAGGAGCAGAAAGTGCCTGCTTGAAAATCAGTCCTATGCACAAGAGGCCTTAGACCTTCATCTTGCCACAAGATGGGCAAGCTCTGACTTAAATTAAGTTGCATCAGTAACATCCTCGCCATTTTTGCTTGCTTGTGAGTAATAGTTAATAACAAATGAGGGGCAGCAGAAAGTGGGAGAGCGGAAAGTAGAGTGTTTAGGGAAGAAAAGTGAAAAAGGGAAAGAAGATCATGGGTGAACTTTGGGTCTGAAAGGGAAGGGCCAGGGTTGAGTGGTAAAGCTCATGCTTTGCATTCAAAGGTCCCAAGTTCACTTCCTCGGCATCATTAGGCAGGGCTGGTAAAATCTCTCCGAAGCCTTGGAAAGTTTCTGCCGGTCATTGTACCCAAAAGCATGCAAGGTAAAGCTGAGGTTGGAGCCCCAACACACTGAACAACGGACACACACAGGAAGCAAGCACATTCCCCTCCCCATTCCTTTTTTCAGCAAACCCATCCCCCCCCCCACATGCCTGTGCTGCTCCCTTCTCCTCATTGCAAGTGGAGAAGTGGGAGGGAAGGGCACCAGGAAGGGGCACACCGGTGCCTCTGGTGCATGCAGCTTTGAGCCAGGTAGCCCAGTGGTCTGACTCAGCGGGAGGACGTTCTCCATCCTCCTTTCTGGAAGGCTGCCCATGCAAGGGATGGCATGAGGTGGTGGCTTAAGAAAGAAGGAATCCTGAGATGCCCAGATGTGCTCTGTGGTGTACCCCTGCTTAACACGCAGAATGCTTTCAGGGTGTTCTTTCAAATGTTTTGAACTGCAACTCCCATCATTCCCAGCCAGCTGCCCTTATGCCCCAGAATATGCTCCTGCAAAGTACTGCTATGCACTACAGAAAATATTTGTTGGGGGGGGCGGAATATTTCAGGGAAGGTTATCTGCCATAGCTGAGCTCTCTTACTGGGGTATTCCTGGTCATCTAAACATTTCCGAATCACTGGTCTTAAGGCATCTGAACCACAGAAGGCACCCAGGTTTCTTTGAACCCATACAGCTGAAGCACTTTGCTAATGCTTTATTAAGTAGCTTTATAACAGCCTTCTTCAACCTGGTGCCCTTCAGATATTTTGGACTACAACTCCTAGCCAGTATGGCCAATTGTCAGTAATGCTTGGAGCTGTAGTGCAAAACAGCTTTGGACTAGCTCTCTTTTATACAGCCAGAGCCCATCTGGACTGATCCTGCCTACTGTGTACATGTGCAGGTGCAAAATGGACCCTGCCACAGCACATGAATTTCCGAGAATGTCCTCTGTTCGTTTGGTAGGGTTTGAGTGGGGTGGCAGGAGGAGGTTAAAAGTACGTTTCTAGCTTTCATGGTTGAAGTGAAACATTTGAAAACATGGAGGCAGCATCTGTGAAAACTTCATCAGGCAGAGACCAAAAAAGACTTCCCATAAACACAGGGGCTTGCGCTTCTGCCTGGCCCTCACTGTAGCCTTTTCTGCCAAAATACTTGGCATGCTTTGGGGGAAAAAATCCCCATCAATATTACTGCTGGAAAAATGAAACTATATCAGCCAACAAACACAAATCTGCATCACGAACCCATTCTTTGTATGGATTTCCTCATGAAAGAGATGGCGGTGTTGCTTTTAAACAGCGGCAAACAGCACAAAAAACCAAAAAGAAAATAAAACATACTCTGGGGAAGAGGAGGAAGTCATGGGAATCAGATCTTTGGGCCATTTTGCACATTATACAAAATTCCATGTGGGAATACTCTAATATGTGAATTAGTTATTAGTTCCCTTCCCTCCCTCTCACCCGTCCAGATGGCCCTGACATCAGGCTGCCGTATTGCAGCTTGACTCGTTCTGCACCCACAGTCGAGATTCTGCTGCACTAATCCCTTCCAGTCTGCCAGGAGCTGCTGCTGTGGCACAGAGAGCGGGCAGCCCAGGCTGAGTGTGAGGGAGCCCCGTGGATACGGATTCCTGACTTCCTCCAAGAAGCATCCTGCGTTCTGTAACAACAGAGCTAGGGAAGGCGGAAGCCACCCTTTGAGCAGCTCTTGTTGTGCATCAAAAAGCTGAGAAACATCCTGCCAGAGCAAGGCACACCTCGATTAGTCTTTCCTTCCTAGTACCCTCCAGGTGCGCAGGACTGCAATGCTCCCAATTCTCAGCTGGCAAGACCATTGGGAATAATGGGGGTTGCAGGCGCTCACATATGGGGAGTACCAGGTTGGAATAGGCTGACTTAAACCATTGTTAGGGCTGGCTCTAGGAGTGTCCCATCTGGTCCTGATTCTGCGCTTCCCTCTTGTCCACATGCAGGCTCTACTGCCTCAAGATCTACGGTTTGTCCTCCCTATGGCGCCTGTTCCGTGGGAAGAAGTGGAACGTCTTGAGACAACGGGTGGATTCGTGCTCCTATGACTTGGACCAGGTGGAGGCTTTCTGGGGAGGGGGGTGGAAAGCCTGTGTCATGATGTGGCTTCCCATGTGTGCGCCCCATGCCACACGCTTGATCTGCAGAGGGCTTAATTTGTCATCCTTCCTATAACATGATGTTTTTCCCCAGGAGCGCATCTGTAGGTGTACTGGCAGAAAGCACTGCAGTTAATTCCTTTGTGTGTTTAATGTGTGCACAGTGGAAAGTACCACACATTCTGAACCCTGTGAATGCTTGTGCGTACCAGGAACATGAAGGCCTGGTCATACTTTTTTCCAAATTAAACCAGCAGGAGCAGACTCCCTGTTTATTACTGAACCCTGAATAGCACAGTTGTTCCCCGCCAGCCAATTTTCTGCCCAGCTCTCTAACAATTATAGCCAAGGGGGGCTAATCCTGAGAGACCCCTCTGGCAGGTGCCTGATGCCACATAAGTCAGAGCACAGGAGTGATAATGGGGTCAGAGGGGAAGGAAAGCAATTTGACTAAAAGACACCAAATAATTACAGCCATACCCAACAGTGTTGCCATAGTTACCTTCTGCTTTGTATTTCTATTAAAAGGCCCTGTTTCATTTACATCAAATGGAGCCCACACGTTCCCATTAGGATGTGGATGCAAAATTGTTCTATCTGCTTCTTAGCTTTTTCTAAATGTCAAGTCTGCGGCATGACCAGCTGACCTGCTCACCCCTCTGCCCCACCCCCCACCCCAATTTCTGGGAAAACAAAATGTGGAAGAGAACCTGGGCTTTGAGAAGCCCCCTTGCAACTCAGGTCTGTTCCTTTGCCTTCCTGGGGATAGAGGTCGCTGGAGGGATGAATGGGGGGCTGCCTAGTTCCCTCCGGCTTCCGCCACTGCCTCCCCAGTCTTTGCAGAACTGCTCTTTGTATATTCTTTCACTCGTCTTCACTGCCGAATTTGTCTCAGGGTCGTTGCACATGCTTCTAAGCCTGGAACTAGCCAAAATGCTTTCAGGTCCCTCCTGGGGTTTCCCCAATTTTCCTGTGGCTGCCCTGGCTGCAGGACGGCTGTCAGAGGCTCCCTGCGCTGTCACAACTGCCTGCCAACAGGGCTAGCCACTGCAGTGGCACGGGACCAGCAGTGTTCGGCCCCCTCCGGTGCGACCCGGGAGTATGCGGCAAGCTCCCCTGCACACACATCCCGGTGGCTGGTCCGCCCCACATCTTTCCGCCATAGTTATGTTGATGAACCAGGCATCTGTGTGTGGGACTGGACAGGGGCCATGAAAAATATGGTTGCTTCCCCGTACTGGCATTCTTCAAGTAGCCATCTGGGCTGTCACACAGCCTACTTGCCTCCTCTGCTGCTAGTGATTATTGTTATTTATTATTATTAAAAGCTTCTGTATGCCTTCCTATTGTACAAAATCTCAGGATGGCTTTCAATATTTAAAAGAACAATTAAAAAAACAATTTTTAATAAATAATAGAACAGAACAAAACATTAAATCACAAAGCAAGCAGAGCGACTGAAGGTTAAAAGTTGTTAAATTTTGAAATACTGTTTCAATAAAAAGGTTTTGGCCTGGCGCTGAAAAGAGCATAAACTTGGTACCAGGCGTACCTCTCTGGGAAGTACATTCCAGAGTCTGGGCGCCACAGCAGAGAAGGCCCTACTCTGAGTTGATGGCCTTTTTACCTCTCTTTGAGAGGGTTCCCGGATGCTTCTTACCCTTCTCCTTCATGAGTGCAGACTGCAGAAGTCGCAAAGGAATAGAGTAGAAAATTAGCCTTGCCCCTTCTCAAGGCATGCGCACAGGTGGAAAGTGTCTCTTTATGGGGTGTGGGCTTGAGCACAAGCTCACAAGGCAGAGCTCCGTAACCCTGCCTAAGCTGGATCTATGCAGAGCCTACAGGGTTCAACCTGTTTTCGCAAGATCCTGTTCTGCGTGTGTGGTGCGCACTGATCCCAGTAACTCCGACTGGCACCAGGGGCGGAAAATATTGATGGGTTCCCTTCTCTACCTTTGATTTCCCCATTTATTGAAAGCACCACAGGAAACCATCCTGATAGGCAGCTGCAACCCACCAGACCGTCCGTCTCCCATCTTGCTGTCCCAAGGGGTGCCCATGTTGAAGTCCCTCACAGCAGGGCATCTTCTGAAGTGTTCTGTAGAAGCAGCCTTGCTGGGGGTGAGGGGAAATAATTTGCCGAGAACCTAAGAGAAGGTGGCTCTTCCATGCTCACAAGGTCTTTTAGCTTTGTACTCCTAATGCATCTCAAATTTCCTTTCAGAGTTAATTGTACTAATATTGGATCCTTTGTGGCTGTTTTTAATTCCAGCTCTTCATCGGCACCTTGCTATTTACAATCTTACTGTTTCTTCTACCCACAACTGCACTGTACTATTTAGTCTTTACTCTGGTAAGTCTACCTTTCTTGGGATTGTAGTATTGCTTTTTATATATTTGTTAGTTGGTTTTTCTGTTGACCTTCACTCCAAGCAATGTACTAAAGTCTGAAGAGAAGGGGGTTGGAGTCGGGTTTGGACTGAGGTTGAGTCACCTCTTTTAAAGATGAGAGAAATACCAGAAAGACTACAATCATGGAATATTCGAAGTCACCACATATTCAAAGTTTCATAAACAGGCGACTCATTTAACAACACAGACGTCATGCCAAACCATAATTTGCACAAACTAAAGCTGAGAAGCCAAGAATTGTTTGAGCTCCCAGATGCACAGTGGGCAAACCATGAGTTGAGATGCTTTGCCTGCTTGCCTTTGCCATTTTCTCGGCATACTACTTCTTAATTTCCTAGTTCTGTCATATTTACCAACTCTGCGGTGCGGCAGTCTCTGAAGATTGAAAAATGGCTGTACCTCAGATCTGCCAAGTCAAACGTCACGCCAGTCAGCAGCCAGCAGAAACCATCGTTTGCCAACCCATTTCAAGCTAAGCTTCTGCTTTTGTTTTGCCAGCTGATTACAAACCATAGTTTGTCAAGTCAGATATCACACCAAACCATCCCTGGCAATGGCTTGGTATGACATTTGAACCTGAGTCGGTAAGATGGATATAAACCATCTTAAGAACCCTTATTACTATTTTATGTAAACTTCATGTAAAGACCATATCTCTTCTAATGAATAGGTCCTGTTTAATTATTATTTTTATTCATCTTAATTAAATACCACCCCATTCCCATAGGCTCCAGACAGTTTACAAGAAGTTAAAGCCAACAGTGAGTTATATTGACTAAGGCAACATATTAAATAAAATTGACATGAGAACCAATCTGAGAAGGCTTGTCGAAAGAGATGAGTTTTTAACTCCCTCAAAAGTGGGAATTTGTGGAATCTGACACATCTCTCCCAGAAGACCATTCCACAGTCTAGGGGCAACCACTGAAAAGGTCTTCTGGGTAGCTGGCATTAATTAACAGGAGTAGACTCCAGAAGATTATCCCCAGAGGACCCTAGCTGGCAAGGCGGAAGGTGCTCCTGAAGGTATTTTGGACCCAAGCCATGAAGGGCTTCCAAGGTAATTACCAACACCTTGTACTGTATCCGGGAATGTATTGGCAACCAGTGCAAAGACTTCAAAGTATGTGATATGGGGGTCTCTCCATGATGTCCCAGAGACCAGCCTGGCTGCCCTACTTCATACTAGTTGCAGTTTCCGGAATAGGCACAAGGATAGTCCCATGTGGGACACATGGCAGAAATCAAGCCTCACTCTTCACAAACAAATTACAAAAATTGAGTCAAATGTCCACTTGATGTACGCCTGAAGTTTTGGTCATGCTCTGGTATATCCAGCAGGGCAGAACTATGCAGAAGATGCAAACAGGTTCTTGAGGCCTTCCTTGTCCCTTTGCTCACGGAGTGCTGATAGCACTTGGCTGGAGGATAGGATGCGGGGCTGGGAGGTAGGAAGAAGGCTTTCCTTCTTGCACTCCCAGGTGCAAGAGAAGACCCCAGGGTGATGCACTATTGGGTATCCTGATCTTTCCCAAAACCTATCAACATGGAATTGAGACAAACTGCATTGTTGCAGCTTTCTTGATTTAAACAGAAATGCTATACTGGACAGTCCTGAGTGTGACATAATAGGCTGCGATTGATAGAATTCTAACTGGAGAAAATGTTTTGCCCTAGCTCCGTCTATTGGTGGTGATTGTGCAAGGCTTGATCCATCTGCTCGTGGACTTCATCAACTCACTCCCCTTTTATTCAGTTGGTCTTCGGCTCTTCCAGTCTTACAGGCTTGCTTGTAAGTTCTACACATCTACATTATAACTACAGCAAAAGTCCAGAGTGGTAGTATTAGTAGAGATTCAGAAATGTTTCCCAAGGGCAAATGCGAATCATCTTAAGAACGGCCATATATGCTTTAAGATGGGGTTCAGTCACCAGTGCTAAAAGAAAATTAGTTTGCCTGTAGCTGTAATGACAATGTTACATGTGTTCTTTTGGCTGTTGGTAACCTGGCGAATCCAGGCAAATTTCCCTTGCCAATACTCTGTGCAAGGAAGAAACGATTCCTGCCAATCTCTCAGCAAAAAGCATATATCCTCCAGATGGCATAAAGCAGGATCCTCCTTTTCCTGGCTCTCCTTTTTCCATCAATAGCCCAATAATCAAACAAAAATAGATACATAAAGCAAGGTAATGCATATAACTATCTAACAAAAGTGCTACTTTAACATATATTACTCAGTGCTTCTCTGGTTACTGAACCCTTTGATCTCACAAGTGATGTGTTTTTTCCTTGTCATAAATAGAATCAGTTTACATGGAATCGGGGAGGTTTCTTTACTGAAAGAGGAAGGAAATACTTCTTCAGTAGTAAAGCTGTTAGGCAGTCATTTTTTGAGAAAACTCATTCTCAGCAAATTTCTGCTTTTCCACAAGAAACAGATTGGTGAAAATATAAGAGATCGGGACACGTGATGACAGAAGTCAATAGAATGTAATATAATTTTTCACAGGGTTGACATAAATTATGGTAGGTTAATGTGTCTTGTAAAGTCATCATGTTTTGTCAAGGCGGCTTAAGTTTGGCTTACAAGTGCCCCTTGGAGAAGGCTTTCTTTGTCCCACAATGGATTGTCATGTCATCTGAACCCAAAGCACACAGCCCATCATGAGTGAATCCAGACCACTAGAGAGATGCTCGGTAAGAGTGGCAAAAACCAGGTGGTTACTGATTGAGCACCAATGCTAGTTTTCTCAAAGCATCCAAGTGGCATTTGGGCTCTGCTGGCAGATATCTTCCCACCACCACTGTTGCCTTTGTGGGCTTGCCACAACTTTTTTCCCCTTTCCCATTTTCCCCAAGATTGTGAAAGTTCATTGCTAAGCCATATTTCCCAACGAGCAGCCCCTCCAATGTGTCCCAGAGGCACCTTGGAAGGGGTACCCAGCATTTTAAAACAGGTAATCGTGCACAGATTTGACTAAATCCCATTTGTGCAAATGCACTCATTCACAGAAGTGCAACTGGGAGGATTTCAAGCCTTGGCTGGCACAGGGTGCCCACTGCCAAAGGATGGGCAATATCTCATCTTTTTTGATCTCTCCCTTTAGTCTCCATGGAGAAGCAGCTTTTGGCCTTTGTGACAAGCCTCTTAAGTGTTCAGGGAAAGCGAAAACTGCTTCCCCCCACTTTTTAAAAGGAGAACTGAGTTTCACAGGTGGCTGTCAAAACTTGGGTTCTCTTTAGAAAGGGGTTTGAATGGGAAGTGGGTGGTTTTGGACTAGAACAAAAAATCAAACAAACATTTGAGCATATCTTGGTGTGAGAGTAAAACAAACCCCCTGATCACTATCTTGGAGGTATAGGATCATGAAAGAGCTTGTGATCTGTCCCCCTCTCCCCAAAAAAGAATGGGTTTTTTTGAGCGGGGAAACCACAGCAAACCTGAAATGGTGACCAGGAGGGAAGAGCATTCATTTCTCTCAAGTGTCCCCTGGAATACTTACAAGAGGAGTGACTAGGAGGAGGGGTCTAGCAACCCATGATGTACCTGACGAGGTACAGGGTGGCTCTTTGGGCAGTTCGCTCACCCTGCAAGGCTTGGGCTGTATTACGGATTGTCATGCCGTCCAAGCCAGGCCTGTATTTGCATCACAGCATTATGCCCATCCAAGCTTCTGCTTAATCAAGCGCTTTGTTCTGCTGTAGAGCTTTTAAATCCACTTTGTTTCCTGGTTCTTATTGCTCTATCATCCCTTGTCACTTGGGAGAGATCCAGAAATTTAATGAAGCCTCAGCTCTCTCTGTTTAATATTAAAACAACAGAAGATTATTTGCTTGTCCTGTTCTTTTCCATTTTCACCCACCCGTGTGTCACTGGAAAAGCAGAAATATCTAGAGAGTAAGCCCCCTGTGAGGGCCTCCTTTTCAACTGAGGTTGACTTGAATACATGTTTTGAAGTTACCGCAGAATGTTAATCCTCATCCCTGAAGATCCCATCTGGAGATTATCAACTTGGTAAACTGTGTCCAGAATATTTTTGAGATTTGCCTTTTTGCTGCCTTTTCTTTTTTCTTTGTGGCTTCATTATAGAGATCCACTCCCAGAAATTTCTAACACAGTGCATGGTTTTCTCAACATAGAGGCAAATTTCAACAGCACTTGCTCAGCACCGAACGAACAGCTGCTACATGTAAAGCAAGTCTGGGCATGATGTTCGGTTAGGCGGCTGATGGCAAATATCAGGGCAACAAAACCATTAGTAGGGTTTGTATGAGCAGAAGCCTTGGCTTGCTGCACAGGTGGAACCATCTGTTAGAGCGCTTAGACAGTTAGAGAGCCCACTGTACTCCGATCACCAGAAACGCAGATATGTTATGAGGCAGGTTTGAAGCAAAGGCACTACCAGAAGCCAGTCATGTTTTGAGTCAGGGAATACAGGAAGAGAACCAGTGCTAAAATTCCACAAAAGAACCCAAAGCAGAAGGCAGTACAATCATGGAGTTCTGTTCTTCAGGTATTATATTTTAGCAGGGATAAAAGTTAGAAGATCCAAGAGTTACACCATCAGCTTGGTGCAGAGGTACTTATGGGACGCAGCCCTATGACTAATGACTCAGCTTCCTGTTGTCTGCCTTATGCCTACATAGGGGAACACTAATATGTCGGAAGAGAGAGGATCAGAATCCAATGGACAAAGCAGCTCAGGCTCTTTGTCCATCTAGCCCGCTAGTGTCTACCCCAACTGGCAGCAACTTTCCAACGTTCCAGCTAAAAAGAAGCCGTTCCCTCTCAATTTCAACCTGATCCTTTTAACTCGAGATGCGGGGAATGGAACCTAGAGCATGTGTTCTACCCCTCAGCAATGGTCCCTCCCCACCTCTTCCATAATGCTGCACTTGTCCAACACTCAGCAGATGCAGACACTTGGTTTCCCTTTCATCTTTTAACGAAACCCTGTTGGCTCCCTGTAGCCTTTATCCAATGGAGCCTGCACCGTTGCTCTACCTGCTTTTGCTTTTGCATTTTCAGCTGGTGTGAAGTTCAGAGTCCTTGAGCAAGAGACTGGAAAACCCCTTCGACTTCTAATGCAGGTAAACCATTTTAATGATCAGTTGCTGTTGTTCAGGGGACTCTTTCTTCTTTGAGAAGAACTTTCTGCTCTCCCCGTTTCCATGTGACGCCATGTGGTAGCATCATTCGCCTTCCGGTATCTCATCACATAATCAAGAGGGGCTGCAAGCAAGACGCCTCTGCTCTGACCCCCATTGCACAACCTGTCAGGTCTTCATGTGCTGATCTCCGTGATGATCTTAGGTTAGGTTATGCAAACTCATACTGAACAAACTACCCCACTGACCCATGGGTTGTTGCACCCATGATGGCTTCTTGTGTCATCTGTGTAACCAGCCCCATTGCGGGTACCAGAAGGCAGAGAGCAAGCCTCTTGCCAAGAATGGGAGAAGCTCTGTGCTGCTCTTGTCAAGCTTGTCCAGGTGTGTCGCCGCCCTGTGAGTGCCCAAGGGGTACCTGGGGGTGGCTGGCACAGGCTTAAAAGTTCGCTGTCATATTTTGCCCCTTTATCCTTTTTATTTCTTTTTTGCAGAGATCACAAAGTTTGGGTTGGCGCTGATGTTTAAAAATCCCTGTTTTGACAGCTACTGACAGCCCCTTCTGAGTGCCCGAGCAGCACCATGGAGGGGAGGCCACTGTGTCACAAACACTGTAAAAAATATTTTTGCACACACCGTATGTGCAAACATTTTCCTTCTATTTTTTTTTTTTAATTACAGCTGCACGTCCAAGGAAATGGGGATCTTTTTTGGGCAATGCGGGTAGTGGTGGGGTAACTTCCCTTCATCGTGACTATACCAGACCTCGCCTTATCCTTCATGAATGTGTCTAATCTCTTTTAAAGCCTTGCAAGTGGATAGCCTTCATCACATCCTTCGGTAGCAAAGTCTGTAGTTTCTGCAGTGTGTGAAGAAGCACTTCCTCTTATCTGTCCTGAATCTTGCAGCAATCGGTTTCATGGGATGACCCTGGCTCCTGGTATCGTGGGAGATCACTGGCATCATTCTGTAGACCTTTGCCATGTTTCCCCTTACTTGCCTTTTTTTCCAAAGCTGAGCAGCCCCCGATGCTGCAACCTTTCCTCAAACGGGTGCTGGTTGAACGCCTTGGTTATTTTGGTGGCCCTTTCCTGTCCCTTTCCCAACCTCATAATATCTGTCACCTTCATTTGTCCAGCTCTGCTGTCATTTGAAGGGCATCTCCCCCTTCTGATGACTCCTCTCTTCCTGCCTCGCCGCCTTTGAAGTCGGCCTCCCAGAACACCTCTCCTATTTCTGCCTCTGCTGCATGATAGCAGCATTCTCTTACTTCTCTCAAACCTTTCTGCAGGATCCACTTTCCCTTTAAACTTTTGGAGCAGCTTCCTAAACCCGACTATATTAATAGTTGTCTGAACAGCAGCCTTGTCCCACTTGTGCCCTTCCAAGATGTGTGGACTGCGACTCCCATCGTTTCTAGCTAGGTTGTGGTCCAGCACATCTAGAGGCAACCAAATCTGGGAAGACAGCTGTACACTACAGCTGGGGCCATCAAGTATAACAATTTGCTACACATCATTTTTGTCCTTAAAAATATGTTGCCAAAATGAGAGAAGATGGTATTTCATGCAAGAACATTGCCATATCCTGGGTTTCTCCATATCATTTAAGAATAGTTGTCGGGGGACACATGATATGAATTTGTCCTTCATCACTTGAGCATGAAGAGCAGGTGATACTCTGAAAGCTGTGAAATTTTTATAAACCTTTGTGAACATTTGTTTAAAATCTTGTCATAGATCTTGGCTAATTAGAAATTGTATTGAAGGTAAATGTGAAAACAGATGGTGGGAATCTGTTTTTGGGTCTTATGTCTACTGTAGAGGAATATTACGCATGCGTACATCTGCCTTTTAACTCGCAGTACAAGGTTACTTGCCAGCTTAGTGCTTTTTATTGGTCCAACAGTACTCTGGGAGGAAACTTTTTTATTTTATTTATTTTATTAAAGCATTTCTATGCCGCCCCATTCGCCGAAGCCTCAGGGCGGCTCACAACATTAGGTTAAAATACAAAAAATAACAATATAAAATAAGTCGTCCTGGCCAGATAAAATAATCAATAATATTAACAATTAAAATGATGCTTAAATAAAAAGTTGGCTTTCAAACTGGACAGAACCCTTCCTCGTTTTTCCGTGGAACAGCACAGCTCATTTCCTCGACACACATAGGCCCATGCACTGCTTTGGATCACATCCAGCTTGGATAGGGTTCGGGTCTCTCAGATGCTGAGCTAAGCTTTGTGTAAGTGAGTTGCTGAATCAGAGCCAGGGCACTTACTGTATTGCACAGTGTCAGAACCACAGGGAACCCCACTTAGCAATATACTCTGTAGAAATGTAAAAATACGCAGTGTGTGTCTTCAGAGGATGACTCCTTTGGCCATTTCCATGGGCTTAGGCCCTTAAGAATCCCATCCTCTTGGCTCACCGGTCTACTTACAGCCATGCCAGAAGCCCCGCTTTCCAGAATTGCTGCTTGGTTCTGTTGCACCCTTTGAGTTTGAACATTGGGCCAGAACCTCTGTTCTCCTTTTTCCAGCAGTATAAAATGAATAATCAAACTGACAGGACACCCTTTAAATGTAAGTGCATATTGTCAGGGAGGTCCCAAGAGCAGAACATTAAATTATTTTTAATTTAAATCTTCATTAATATGTAAATATGCAGGTGGCATAAAGGCAAAACAGCAAAGAGGCTCTAGGTCCGCTATGGATGAAATCAGACTTGAGTTAGAATACAGACTGCTGCCACGGATAAGGCAGAAGCCAAAACTTTTGGCACTAAATCTGTTTTGAAACTACTTCGTTGTTAGTCTGTCTTTCATATATGTGTTTGTGTTTTAGCAGCTCCTCAGTCTTTCTCACTCGTGCTCATATTCCATTAGGCGTGACAGGGCTCTGTCCAGGTTTAGTCATTGCGACTCTACTTCACGCTCTTTCTTTGTTCCCAGATAAACCCTCTGACCTACAGCCGTGTGGTGCAGATGTACAGGCTCCCAACATACAGCTGCTACCCTAAGGATTCCTGGGGTACTCTATGCAAGAAGCTGTTTGTTGGGGAGTTAATCTACCCTTGGAAACATAAAGGAGAGAAGCAGGACTGATGGTCAGCAACTGAGATGGACTCCCAAAACTGACCAAATGAACATTTGAGAACCAGGCCATTTTCCAGGCCAGAGTCACCGGCACTTGTACCTGTGTCAAGAAGTTGCTCCTATGCACAGGTGGGGACAGCATGTTGGGCCTTCTCCTGAGGAGCCAGTGAATTCCCCTTCCACTACACAGACTGCTCTTTCCATTCATGAACTATGATTTACTTCTGAATTAGAATTGTCTGTCTGGAAGCACCAGGGGCCAAAAATAACACGAAACTCACAGTACCTCCTGCCACAACCTTCTTGGTCCATGCATAGTGGACTTCTGTTTGCCAGCACAGCAAGGGGGTGAACCAGCTCAGGGCCATGTTGGGCTTGGGGCAAGGTTCATTTTAACCCGTTGCCTCCAATAGGCTCCCAGTTGGGATCGACCCCCTCTTTCCCTGTGCTGGCTCTTTGTTAGAGAGAAATCAGCTATGCAAGCAATGCTTGTATTCTGGCCTCTGGTGTCTGCTGTACCAGCTTACCCCATGGGCTAGGATTAAAGCCAAATTATGAAAAATAGTAAAAATTGGCGGAAATACATTTTGTAGAACCTGAGGAATCATGCCAGTGGGCTCCCTGCTCACAAAGTCCAGTGTTTGCCTTCCTGGGTTATTTTTTCTTTCATAGATTACACCGTGTGGGTTGCCATGTTCAAATCCTACCCAGTTTTCATTATGAAAATGGTGTTTCTTCTGGGACACCCTACCCCAGGATTTTGTGATAGGGAGATATTTAGCACAGAGTGTACATTTGTCCTAATTGCGTGTGTGTGTGTTGTATAGACTAAAAGGGAAATTCCCAACTCATCCTTAACATTTAGCCTTTTATTCCCCTGAAACTTGGAGGCCTCTGTGAGGACTAGATACAGTTTTATGAGAAGTTTATTTGGGTTCATTTTTACCTCGACTTTGCCCTGACCACTGGACAGTAAAACAAATGAGAGCACAAATTTCCGGAACAGCTCACAAATGCTAGACCGGTGCTCACATTTGAAAAGTGCTCATTTTCTAAAAATGTACACTTTCATATTCTGCCCTGTGGGTGAAAAGTACACATTTTAGGTGCACTCTTTAAAAATGCACATCAGAATGTGCACTTTGGGGGTTGACAAAGAAGAAGCTCAGATTCTGAACTGTGAATAAGAGAAGCCACGCTCAGAGGTTAAAACAGGAGAATTTTGCTGATTCTCCTGTCCCGAGGTTTAGAACAACTACTATAGAGCCAATATACCCAGGTGCCATCAAAACAATTATGATCCACCTCCCGGATAGCTGCATTCTACCTGAGAGACAAATCTTTTCAGTACCCCAGATGAACTTGTTTGTGCAGAAAGGGTGGGATTGTATCATGCTTGTTGCTGAACACGGGGCAAGAATGGGCTCTGTTGCAACACGGCCGTAAAAAGTAGCTTCAAGATGGGACAATTCCAAGATAAGGAAGCCAGAGCACACATGTTTGTTGCCCTTGCCTTGTAAGCACACCAGAGAAAGGCCACTTCGACTACTGCCTGCTCAGGCTTGCAGCTGGTCCTTGGGTAGCTTATGAATCCAAGCCACCAAACTAGTGCAAACATGGCCCCAAACAGTGTTTTCCATGCCTTGAGACTAGCTTAATATCAAGTGTATCCCATACTGTGGGGGACACCCTGCAAGTCATGTGTGGCCCTGCCCCGAAATTCTTTGTGGGGGCAGAAGAAATGGCTATGGGACACCAAAGAGCTCCAAACCGGCTTGTAAACTACCTAACAGGGCCCCTTTCATGCTCCATAGCTACTATAGATTTTTTAAAACTTTGTTTAACTTGCACAGTTTGTGTGGCCAGAGGAACAGGAGCTCTTTCTTGCCTCGTGCATTCCCCTTGGAGGCGATCCGGGGATTTGCAGCCTCACGCAGTAGGACAGAGGTGCCTTGAACGTCATGGCGCACACTGCCAAGGACTCGCCGTGTCCACTCTCCATCCATAACATGGGGTGCAGCTCTTGAGCAAGGACTGCTCCCCAGTCATAAACATTGCTTCATAAAAACCTGGTCTTGCACATGCTCAGTGAGTTTTTAATAGTATCTCGCCCTGCCACTCCAACACTGCTTCCCCCTCCCTCCCCTCTCCCCCTCCCCCCCTCCCCCCATACCCATCTTGCCATGCCTGTCCCTGGATGAAGACCACGCTCTATTCCAACCCCTTAATTATGACTGACTGGTGGAGAGTTTGGATGAATATCCTCTTTCTTGTGCTTGCTTCTTCCATGTGTTTCGCTCCTGTGTATGAATTGCAGGCCTGAAGGGGACAGCTTTTCAACCCCCTCTCGGTCACAGGAATGATAACACAAACCAGGGTTTCTCCAGCTCAGAAATCCTCGGCACCTCTGTAGACTCTGCCGCTCGTCCTCTGCAGAAGGAGCATTCCTTGGTGAAGGCATGAGGAACGTCTTTCTCCTGCAGACACAAGCCTGGTGCCCCCCAGTTCTGTGGCTCGCTCTGCATGGAAAGAGAGCCCCTCACATTTTCATTCAGAGCACAGCTGCACTTCATTTGCTTGTGCCAGCACTCCAAAGAGAAGACCAAGTGTTCGATTTTTGTTGCCAGTTCCTGCTTTACCTTCTCTAAGCACTGGAGAAAGCCAGAGGCCCAACCTGGCCCTGCCTTGGCACAGCCACCGCCAGATTTTCTTGTTCCTTCTTGGTTACAACACCCGTTGCTAATAAAAATGATGCGTGAGCTTTTCTTGTGACACTACCTCAGTGATACATTAAAATATTTTCCCAGAAGGTAGCTGTGTTACCCTATTGCAGCAGAAAAAAGAAAAAAAAGAGGTATTTTGTGGCATCTGAAAGACTAATCAATTTATGGGCTTATTCTTAGGCAAGTCTGTTGCAATTCATTAGTAGAGCCCCAAGTCAGGCCTTAAAAAAACCCAGGAGAGTCCAGTTTCATGTGCCCCATGGGTGTTCCTGCTGCTGCACGTAGAAACAGGGGTGGAGGGTGTAATATTATGCAGCAAATGTGCTTGGTGTGATATCATGAGTGCTCTCCAGTGCTTCCAGATCCCTCCTGTTTGCACTCCTCGTTCTGAGAACAAATCATTTTCCATTGGATCCAAGCCAGTTTATTTTTGAATTTATCTTGAAACTCCGATGCACTGTCCAAATGATGTTATCTTCCTTGTAGTTGTGAAAAGGGGGGATTAGATCATCCAGTATGGTCCACTGAATGAGAAAGGAATATGAATCCATGCTGGCCTCTCACTCCTCCCTTCCTGAAGCTGCTTTTGCTGCTTTCTGTCTGGATTGGATTCAAACGGCATGAGCCATCTGGTGAGTCAGGGTTGCAAAGCAGCTGATCTTGCGGGCTTTCTTGGTCGGGTCGCCGTGCGCACAGGCCTGCCGGGTGCCGGTGTGTGGCTGCACAGCATTTCTTACAGTGGCCTCTCAAGAGAGTGCTGCAAATGTTTAACCAAACCGGCGTGCAGCCTTTTCTCAACACAGAGTACTCTGACTGTGCACAGGGGGCCCATCTGAAGGCAGGCTATAAGGCTGTCCCAGAGATCGTAGCTACCTGGAGGTAAAGCGCCTGCTTTGCGGGCAAAATGACTGTATAACCAGTCCTGGGGGGAGGGGGAGTAGGAGAGACTCCCGCCTGAAGCCCTGGGGAGCCGCTGGCAGTCCACGTAGAGCTGCGGCAGGCAAGGTGCATATTGGGAACTGCTGCTGATCCTCTGGTGGGTTGCTGTAGACTGGCAACATTTTCTGACTCCCAGTAGTTTAACAAGGGCAGGTAAACATAAACGAATTCCCTGCCATAGTTGTGCTGCATGGTGTTAACCCTGTGTTTCCTAGCCTTGCTGTTACCTGCCTGTAATGCTTTTGCTAGCCAGTTTTAGAGTTCTGCGAGAATCCTTGGTCCAGAATAGCCCAGGTGTACATTTGCAGGTGTGGGTCATCCCAGTTTATGGCTCGTGAACTGCCGTAGCTAATTGGCACCACTCCCTTAACCAGCATTTTGCATTTAGGTCTTTTCTCATTTCACCTTGCTGCTGCTCATGGGCCTTGAGATTCTTGCAAAAAGCCGAAGAAGAGCCCATGAGCTTGAAGCTTCCCTGCCTCTGCTCCAGCTCACTGTAAAACAGTTCCCTGCGTTGGGTGTCCCCACAGTGATCAATGTAACTTTCAGCATCTGGAAAATTGATGCTGTGCTGTTTCTATGGCCCAGAGAATATGTCCCAGGCCCGAAGATAAGAGAAGGACTCCTGGACTGCGCTGGTGCTTAGATGAGTAACTGCAGCACTTCAGCTTTTCAAGAATCAACCACTGCAGGGCTGGGCAGCATGCGGCCTTCTAGATGTGTTGGCCTGCTCCTCTCATCAACTTTCACCATTGGTGGTGCTGGCTAGCACTGATGGAAATTGCCGACCAAAACATCTGGTGTGGGGGCACAAGTTGCCCACCCTTCCATTAGGGCATTGCTAGTGTTCTTCTCAGCTGCCAGGCAAGTGCTGGCGGGGTAGCAATGCCTGTGAATGTCGGATTCCTCTGCAGAATGCAAACTCTGAGTCATTCAAATGCAGGACTGAGAAAGGATTTGAGTCTGTATTTGTTTAAAAGCTTATGTCATAAATCTGAAGACTTAATGCAACAAAAATTAGTAACACAACTGAAAAGTACAGAGATAAAATGCCAGCCCGCCCAAGCAAAGGGCTTGTCACACAGTGTAGAATGTTAGAGCAGAGAGCCTCTGCATGAATAACCAGCATTCAGCATCAGAGAATCCTTCCTCCCACAGCCAGCTCTGGCGGCGGCGGCTGCTTTGTGCTGGCGTGCTTGCTTCGGTTTGCTGGGAAGGATTTCAAAGTTATCAGGTCAAGCCCCTTGCTTGGAGGTGGAATTCCTTCCGTACATAAAGCACCTTGATAGGTTTAGCACATGGCACCCAGATTTACAGTTTCCTGCCCACAAAGAACAGGACTGAGGGCTGTTGCAGGCAGCCTTCCACTAAGTGCATGGTTCTCCATGTGAGAGGAAGACCCTCATAAAGAAGAGACCAGCAGTACCTTCAGGAAGTCGCTTCACCAGATCTTTAGGCTGCAGTCCTACACACGTCGGGACAGGAAAAGGCCTGCAACTCTGCTGGCCAGGGAATGCTGGAAGCTGTGGGGCTTTTTTCCTGCGTAAGGATGCATAGCACAGCACGGTACCCCTGCCTCTGCTAATAGCAAGCAGGCCCAGCTTTGCATGGGTTGCAGCAGCCCATAGTTCGGTGCAATGAAACCTGCAAGCAAGTGAACTCAGTTGTGCAAGCTGGATACCTTGTGCTCCCCACACCTGAGCGGAGCCATGCCAGCTGGCACACCTAGATCTTGTCCCTGCTGCAGTGTGCTCTTGTACTCCACTGGTAGAGGGCCCGAGGGGGAGAGAGCAGGTGTGAAGGGGCGTCCTTCTCTCCTAATTTCCCCTTGATCCCAATTGCATGGACCACAAAATGATATGCTGGTTTATTTATTTGTTTAGAAAATTTCCATGCCGCCCCATTCGCCGAAGCCTCGGGGCGGCTCACAAAACATCAATTAAAATAGAATACACTAAAAATATAAAATGAATTAACAATATAAGGAAGTTGGCCCCACAGAAGATTTTAGCACATCTTCAACCACAGGGGCACTTTTTAATTAAAATTAATGACTGCATTCTGACTACAAAATAACCTTGAGGTGCACATCCCTAGGGTCCAATTAGAATGCCTGCCAAGCGTCTGCTGTCTTGGCTTCACAATGTTGGCATTATGGTACAGACTGACAGACGCATTTCCTCTTGTATTATGATG